TCCCCGCGGGGCTCGCCGCCTTTCCACGTTCCACCTCGGCTTCCCCGTTGCCGGAAAGGGGCAGCGAGCCCTGGCCGTGCCACCCGTGGAAACTGGTCCTCCGCTGGGGACGGCGGTGTAGGTAGGGGCTCGAGGGTGGGCCCGCGAGCTTGCGGGGGGCTTCCACTCTAGAAGGCGCCCCGGGGAGGCTCTGTGCCCACTGGGCCAGGGCAAACGGCCAGCCTCCTTCAGCAAGACACACCCGCCGCCCTGCAGCCGGTTCCCACTCAAACGACGAGGACCAACTAAACCCCCTCTCTTCCCTCACGGCCCCCACGTCTGACCTATAGAATAAAGTGTGGGTTCAAGATCACAGGGGAGCTCCTAGAGTGAGAACCCCTCTCCTCCCCCCCAGTTCAGAGGAGCTGCTAGGAGCATCTTCATGGAGGGAGGGGGCGACTGCAGCCCCCATCTTCCTTTCAGACTGCAAGCGCAGGCACCATGAGACTGGGGTGGGGTGTCACACGATGGAATGGGGCCTGGAGGAAGGGCAGGGATGCCCCTGGGGGGGTGGCCTGTCCCTTTTCACCACCCCCACCACCCAAAGCCCAGTAAGGAGGCTGGGGTTGGGCCAGGGGTCCTGAGAGACTGGCCCAGGTGGCACTCCAGCACTTACCTGCTGGGAGAGCTCCCACAATGCTCTTCTCTTTGAACTTCACCTTGCTCACCTATGAAAGAGAAAGCCATTCCGCCTGCCTGCCCTGCCCACCATGGGGTGCCACATTGCCCACTGGCTGCTCTCGCGAGTGGTGCAGCTTCTAGCCCTCCTCCCCACTTCACCCTCCACACTGGTGAAAAGTCATTTGGATAAATGACTCCTCGGAGCCTTCTCGGTTCTAAGGTTTAGGGGTCCCTTTGGGACACCAGGCCCGTCCTGACAGCCCCCCAGTTTTGTGGGAAGCTGCGGGAAAGTTGGCAGGGTGGCCAGGAGAAGGCGCTATGCCCCGCACAATGTCCAGATCCTGGCAGAGCCACCCTAGGGGGAGGTGACAGTGGGAATAATGGCTTCCTTTGGCTCTAAGACAGGCACCTCCTTCAAGAACCCAGGGTGGCTGCTGCAGGGGAGGGGGGAACCCGAATAAGCGGAGCAGGCACTGTGGGGCCAACAGCGCCCCCACCCAACCCAGCACCCATGTCGGCAGGCAGAGTCCACGCTCCCAGGGGAGCTACCCAGGAGCCTCCTTCACGAGCTGGTCTGACTTCAAGAAAAGAGCCTCCGTGTCTCGTTCCAGCTCACCCCCCAGCCCAAGTGCCCTCCCCTCCTCTGAGCTACAGTCAGCAACTGGACCCCCCCTAGCCCTCCCAGCTCTGCCAGAGCCACCCCCTTGAGTCACTATCTCCTGCTCCCCCCTCTCTCCCTTCATGACTGTCCACTGCTTCGGCCCATCAGGCCCCCCTGGGAGCCCTAAGAGCCAATAGGGGCACACACACACACCTCTCCCAGAGCCAGAGGCCATAGCTGATACGGGCTCCCCTGGCACAGGCTGATGGGAGTAGGCACAGGGACCCTGGGACAGAGGCAGGGCCAGGCCCGGGTTTCCACCTCCTGAAAACAGACATGGTGTGATGTCCACAGGACCCGATGCAGAAAGGGCCCAGACCCCCTGTCCCTGAGAGACACCACCCCCCACTCAGTGAGCTGAGGTGAACCAGAGGTGCAAATGGAGACCAGCTCCCCGGCAGACAGCTGCAGGGTGTGCGGCCCTGGGGCAGGAAAGCTACACTTAGCATGGGGCAGACGGGCTGAGGCCGAGTGGGGACAGCAGCGGGGGACTGGGCCCAGAGCTGGCCAGGCCAGCCGACCACAGCCGACTCTGTGGGCTGAGCTTGCAAGACTGCGTCGTGACTCATGGGCCCCCTCTCTGCGGTTCTCCTGGCAGGAGCATCTGCACACAACAGCCTTTTCCACTGAGATCATGCACAGGGTCGGCCTGCTCCCCTGCCCCTAACAGCCCTCAGCCTCCCTCGCCCTTGGCACCAGGCAGCAGTCAGAAATAAAAGGGGAGGGGCTCTGTGATGAGACACCTGGTCCCCTGGGGTCCCAACAGTGTTCGTGACAATACTCCAGATTTTCCACCTGTGGCCTTACTCAAGTCTGGGCCCCTCCGTCTGGCATCTGGAGGCCTTCCTTCCTGTCCAGCATCCAACAGTGAGCCGTTGGCCTGGCAAACCAAGACATGTCTTGTCTCAGACTGCCCTTTCTAGAATGCCCGTGCCCCCCTCCTCCAAGGCCTAGAAAGCAGATGACCTGGGAGCATGGTGGGTCACAAGTGGGCTATGAACTGCAAGTTCAGCGGTTCAAACCCCGCCAGCCACTCCACGGGAGAAAGGCAACCTGCTTTCCTAAAGATTTACAGCCTTGGAAACCCCAGGGAGCAGTTCGCCTCTGTCCTGTTGTGTCGCTATGATTATGAGTTGGAATCTGATGGCAGCGGGTTCCCCACCGAGGAAGCAGCATTGCCTTCATCAGCAAGTCTTTCCCGCCAACCCAGCAGCTGATGCACTGCTCCCTCCCAGGGTGAGCTCCTGACTGGCTCTCTCTCCTGCCACTCAGCTGGCTCTGACCTGCCCTCTCTGCCTGGCAGCCTCTAGGGGAGTATGGCACTAAGGCCTGGGACCGGCAGCCTGTCCTCTCCTGCACCCGATGTGCCCAGCTCCAGCCTGACCATGTCCTCCAGGCTCATGGGCGGAGG